GTTAGAAGTTAAATTTGTACAGAAAAGTAAAGGAAGAATTGGAGTGAAGGAATGAAGTTGAGCCTGGGAAAGAAGAAGGGTGGGGAGAGGTGTTTCAGTTTCTACCTTCGTTTCTCACCGTCCAAGTCTGTTTTGCCTGTGATGATAATTCATAAGTGATCTCCCTGTCTTTATCTCCACCCATGAGCTTTTCCATCTTACTTTCCTGCCTTGTCCTGCTGGGAATTGTGAGAGTGACTTTCATTAGTGACAGTGATAACCAGCATCGTGCACCTTGCTTCTGTGTATCTCGTGTTCTTGAGATGAAACAAGACCCTCTTGCCCAGGAACGTAAATGTTTGTCCAGCCGTGCAAGAAATATAAGACCCGGGTTCTGTGTGCTCTAAAGCCTGATCTCACTGCTTTCTTCCTGGGGTAGCAGGGGGCTGTGCCCATCACAGTCTGCCCAAATCTGGGAGAGCATCATTTCATTTCTGACTTTTTAGTACTGAGCACCTGGGCGTGAAAGTCTTGGAGAGTGGGAGAGTCCTCAGCAGTGGGGTGGGGGTGTGCACACTCTGTCATCTTGTGCTTAGGAGAAATTCCAGAGGGGGTTTAAGGTGTGCTTTGGTTGTGTCTCAGGACAGGAGGTTGGTTGTGGCACCAAATCCCCTGCTGTTGTTCAGTTTGCAGCAGGCTTGTCAAATACATGGCTTGGCCAAATTAAAAACCTGGCTACAAAACCGCAGCCCTTCCTGTAGAGAGAGACAAGATTCATAGTAGTGTAACTCGTAATTAAATTAGCGCTATAGGATGCTGGAGGGGGGAATTATACCAGGATGAGACACAAGTTTTTGTTTTGTTTTCTCTTCCTCCAAAGTAGCCAAATACAATTTGATTAAAACTTGGGAAATCAACCACACGAAGAAAATGCCAGTTGTAGTTGCAGTACTGTACTGAAAATGTAGGCCTTTTGGGAGGGGAGAGAGTCTTTTTACAAAACTGATGGCCATAGTATCTTGGGAGACGAGCTTGTAAGCCCAAAAGCTTGTCTATCTTCTGTCGCAACTGCTCTGATAGCAGTTGCCCATACGGACCTGGGTATGATTTGTGGTTTTGGTTAGTCTTTCAAGGGGATACGTGTCCAAACATGGTTAGTGAAGGCTGCAACGGGATAGCACTGAGAAGGAGAGGTTGGTCTCTTTTAGGATGAGTTAGTTCACTGATCCAAGAGAACAGATGTTTTGATAAGGTCATACCCAGTTAGGCTTGATTGTGTGCCCAGTTTAGGACATGAATCTGCTGTGTGTTTTGCCTAGGTGGGAGGTTGGAGTCCACCAGGTGGGTGGGTGGGAGGTAGGAGAACAGAGAAGGAAGTTCTGTCACACAAATTCAGGTGACCTTCACTTGGGCAGCGCTGGGTGCCTGGAAGCGAGCTGTGAGACGTTGGAGGGCGTTGAGTGAGCCAGGAGGGGATTGCAGCCTGAAAAATGTGTTGTCTCAATACATCACGTTGGTAATCTCTGCTGGTGGCTCTCCTGGGTGTCATAAATTAACGTGGGGCGCAGGAGCAGCCCGGCCTCACTCAGGTGTGGATGCTCCATCTGCCCAGCTGACTGGAGAGGCTCCTGGGGGAACTCAGTTCACCTCCCAGCCCCCTTGGGGATGAGTCAAGCTCCTTTGCCTTAGGTGATTGCCCACTGTATGCAAACTTTGGCAATTACATCCTATTTGCTGAAGGGCTTGGAACATATTGTGACACTAACGCTTGTTGGGGCAGGAGAGTGCAATTTGGAAAGACCAGCTCTCTGGGCAGCTCTTGGTCTAAACCTGTCATCCGTATGTGCAGCACAGACTGGATCTACCCAGGCATTACCAGGCGGTGTCGTCCCCCCCATAAGTCATACAATGTCCTTCCAGTCACAAATGCAGACAGGATCTAATAGTTTGGGATGAATCTACTTCTGTGATTATTGCTGCTCTGAATTATAAATGACCCAAAAGCCAGAGTTATTCACTACGTTTACTCTTCAGACCGGTGCTCAAAAGGCAGAGCGCTGCTTTTTAAGAAATATGATTTTAGAGAACAAAAGGGGAAGCGAGTGCTGTGAAAATTTAGTTACATGTAAATGTGTTAAATGGTACATGAACTAGTCAGGTTTTCATGATTTATCAGTTTTAAACTTCAAAGGCTCTGGTTAGCTTGCATTTTTAAAACTAATGAGTTTATCACAGCCAGTGGGGAAAAATGGTTCGAGTAGATCAGCTGTAAATTGGTACAAAGCACTAAAAGGGACATTAGCCTCTAATCAGATTGGAACAGTTCATTAAACCTGCCTTTCCTCGCTGGCGCTTTGTCTTCCCCCTCCTCCTGCCCGCGCCTCCTGCAGCAGCCGGCCGCAGCCCTTCGTCCAGGCGGGCGAGACCTCCTCGGGGACACGAAGCGGTATCAACTCATCCTTCTTTGTCTGCGAGCTAAACAGCCCAAGGGATGCTTGGGGATGGTGTATTCCTGGTGCTGCTGTAACACTCAACTGTGCCGTTATAAATCACGAAGGGAGAGGGACCTCTCTGCTTGCAGAAGAAGCGCTGGGGAAGCCGAGAATGCCAGGCTGGCTCCTGCTCGTGCTCCACCCCAAGCCACAGCCAAACCACTGGAGCTCGGTGACGCCCGAGGTCCATTGGGACGAGTAAACAGCGCACCGCCCTTGCTGGGAAGAGGGAGGTAAAGCCTGGAACGATTTCACCCAGTGCTTTTGTAGCATTGAGCTGTTTTAGGGTGTCCGAGTCCCTCCTCCTCTTGCCCTACCTCATGTCTCAAACACCAAATAAAGATCAAGGTGCACAATATAAATTGCTGAGAAGACATAGGAAGAGGGTTTTTTTGGTTTCTTTTTCTTTTTTTTTTTCTTCTTCCTGTTGTGTCAAGCTTAAAATACAGTAGATGCGCTGTGGTAGTGTAGCATGGACCGTGGCGTCTCAACAGCGTGACTCGTCTTCATTCACACACGTCTGAGTGTGGAGGTGTTCTGCTGAACAATTACTTCTTTGATCTGAAATTTTATAACTTAAGCATTTAGAGCTTTTTTTAATCTACTTTTTCAGGAAAAATCGATGGAGATTGCATTTGCATTTGCTGTTGCATTTGCTTATCTCTTTTTACCACCAAGTTCCTGCCTGCCTTGTAATATCAAACCGCAGCTCTGTGTGCTGTAACGCATGGGGTTCACGGCGAGGGCGATGGGGATTGTAAGCAGGTCATTGGCTCTGCCTGTGACACCCATGTTAGAGCATGAGCATATCGATTTCCTCTGTGTTTCAGCGTGGTATTTAAATTGCAATAAAGAAATATACAAAAATAAACAGTTACTGCTGTATTTATACACCTGAAAATGAAGATCTCGGGATGAGGTGCATTAATTGGAAGGAAGAAAATATTTAAAGTAATTTAAGTTTTTAAAATATATTTTGGAAGCTCTACTAGGACAGGCAATTTTTTTTTTTTTTATAATTCTCTTGAAGCAACCATGGTAAGAAGCAGGGCTATGAAGATATTCCTTAAGAATAACAGCACCAGGCCGTACTGAACAGGTCAGAAGCCCAGGAAACACAGGGAAAGGTTTGTTTTCCATCGCTGCGTGGTTATTGAGGGCTACGACATATCAGTTAGAGCAGAGTTTCCGTCTTGACTGCTACCTTCCAGACAGAGCTGCGGAGAAGTGAGTGACTTGAGTGAGTCACTTGTGAGCGAGCTGTGCTGTAGTTTCGCTGCTTGAAAAATCGCTGTGACGTCTCCGTATTTCTGTGCTGCTGACCAAGGCATCTGGATGCGTAAGGTCAGGTTCTAGCTTGAGGGGTAAAATGTCTTTTATTCTCTCTGTGTTATCCAAAGTAAATGGCAGCTTAAGGGGCTAGCTTTCAAATGCCAGCCTTGAGCCTTGGCTGGATTAGAAAACTGAGGACGAGGTAGTGTTTGAGCTGAAGGCGCAAGAAGTTGGTTTCGGTTTGCATATGGAATCACAGAATGTGTTGGGTTGGAGGGGACCTTTAAAGCTCATCCAGTCCAACCCCTGCAGTGAGCAGGGACAATGTTACTAGATCAGGTTGCTCAGAGCCCCATCAAGCCTGACCTTGAATATCTCCAGGGATAGGGCCTCCACCACCTCTCTGGGCAACCTGTTCCAGTGATCTATCACCCTCATATTGAAGAGCTTTTTCCTAATATCCAACCTAAATCTACCCTTTCCTAGTATAACACCATTACCCCTCATCCTATTGCTACATGCCCTAGTGAGCAGCTCTTCCCCAGGTTTCCTATAGGCACCTACAGCGGGATGAGCTGTCCATAGCAGGGATGTTGGTTCAGGGAAACACAGCTCTGCAATTCGCTCTTCACATTGAAACTCTCAGCATACATTGCCCGATGTGTGTTTTTAAAATGCTTTTTTATTTCTTTTGTGCCAGAGGTGAGGGTATGGAGATTTCAATTGAGAATCTATACTGGTAACTTTACAAGATACTGAATTATACAAATTTTGAGGAGTTGATGTGTGTTAATTTATGGTGTGCATGTACAGGCCTTCACTATAACTTCTCTGGATTCAACCATATGCTTTCTGTAGGTAATACAGAAGTACAAATGTTTTGATTGAAATCAAATATACCTGAGTATACTGCCAAAAACGTACTTGACATCGCTGCTCTCTTTTCCAGCTCTCAAGGAAGGAATTTATATACATACACCTGCGTGATTGATTTCAAACTAATAAACAGTAATTGGAGTTGATTTTTCCCATGTTGCTTACAAAGACTTAGTTCTTTCTAAGGATAACTGGAAGTGTAATTTGGTATTTTAACAGAAGCAGTAACTTGGTAGCTACTCCTTGAAATTAATATTACATCTTTGTTAACTATTTCCACTAAAAGAAACTTACCTCTCCAATATCATAGAACTAAACCAGAGAATTAAACTAAGTATTTTTCCTCTTTTTATGATTAACGTTGTCCTTTTTTTGCCATAGGACATCAGCGCCTTTACGAACAGAATGTTAATGCTTGATGGGATGCCGGCAGTCAGAGTCAAAACAGAGCTGCTGGAATCCGAGCAAGGGGTAAGCAGAGGTTTCTGTCCAGCTTCTCTCTGGTTAGCTGTCCCTCCAGTTGTACTGCCATTTTCTTTTCCATGTTTGTCTTCATTTCTACCCATTTGGAGCTCATTTTCTTGGGAGACGTACCAGTGAGCGTCTGGTCACGTCTGCTGGGAGCACAGAACAACACTCTGCAGGAAAGTTATTGAAATAGTCTGGAATAGCTGAGTTACTGTTGATGTAATTTTATGATTATAAAAAAGGTGCAGTTTAAAAAACAAGGAGAGAATAATGGATTATGGTAAAGAACCCAAATTAATCTGTCTAAGAAGCCCGTACATATACTTGCTATGCTGCCTTCTTGGGGTATTTGCCTTCCTGTGGTTGTTTCATCCTTTATATGCTTGTCCTGCTCCATTTTCAGTTAGTGCAAAACCACTCTCTTTCTGGTGGAATATATTTGTTCATCCTTATGATAAGAAGGCTAGGAGCTTTGGATGGATGAAGCTGGTATCACAGAGAGTGTTGAATGCAGGACAGAGATCGTGAATAGGATTTTTTTGCAGAACAAGCTTTTGGCATTGGAGTGGTAGGTTTTGGGAAAACGAAAGAGTAAGTTTTTGAACTTGTTAAGGGTACTTTCTTCACTATGCGGTAATAATTGCATCAGGGATTGTCGATTTACTATGAGAGCATCTGTACGTAATGGATCTCGTGTTACCATGAAGTAGAGTTCTTGCTTATCTCTCCACCTTCTTGAGAGCAAGTACCCTTGGGAAATACCTCCAGTACAGCATAGTTTGAAGGAACATGAAAGTTGGACTATTGTGTGAGCCATGATGATGAAAAAACAGATCCATTTGAGGTAATTTTGTATACCATCTGGATGCTTTGCATTATGTCTTTGAATGTGACATGAACCTTTCTCTCTATTGTTCAGGAGTCAAAAGTTTTATTGGTATTTGCCTTTGTCCAGTTTGAAATAAATTCTATGCATGATATATATTGCTGGGTCCTTTATGAAGAATACTTCCTATTCTCAAAGTGTGATTTGATTCTGGAAGACTTATTTGGTGTCTTAAGAACGGGAAGGAAATGAACATTTTATATAGTTTTTTAATTTCCTTAGGGTTTTTTTAATAACATTTTATGGACTTCTCTGTCAGCAGAAAATGATGTCACCTCTCTCTTTTCAAGTGGCTGAGCTGCTGGACAAAGAGCTCGGTTTGATTTGGGACTTTATACGCTTTGGTACTAATTAAGTAGTGTCTGGTCAAGAGTCTCTGGCACCTTTATGGCTCTTCATTAGGGAGCAATCAATAAATACCAAATGAATTCTCCAGTTCGCTAACACAGGAGCCAGCCATTAGGATGGCAGTTTTCCAGCAAACAGCTTAAACTCTGCAGAGAAAGGTGGCTGAAACAGATGTTTAGCGTGTGCCTCAGAGACTGTTTTGAACGTGGAGATGTTGGTAGGCATAACAGGGACAAGCGTTTGAAGTCTGCGAATACTGAAGGCAGCACATGGAGCTGCTTAGGAAGACGAATATCATAACTGGGAAGAATAGAGTGAGAACTGAAGTGTGATGCAAGTAGTATGAATTTGAAATTGTGATCTTTATTTGTGTTATTATGGTCTCTGGGGTTGCACCTCCGTTGCAGTGTATGGGTATGCAGGGAGACATGACTTGTACTTTGAAAATCTGCTAACTAAGATGGCATTTTTCATCACTGAGCGTGCTGAACACCAGACAAGAGGAGGCAAACTTTTCCAGAACCTATAGGAAGACTGGTGGGTTTTTTTGCTGTTTCTGCTTGGTATCTGCTGTTTGCTCTAGGTTTGCTGCAAGGGCAAAAACGAGACATGGTTGAAGGGTTGTGAAAAGGAAGTTTCATCTGTGGTTTAATGATTAAACAACATGTGTTTAACCTGGGGCTTTATTAAAAGCCTTTTTTTGAAATTCATGTGTTTCTTCATCGTTTGTGAACCAGTAACCCACCAACCTACTCACTTGAGCAGTAGAACGTACCACTGCTTAGCAACCTTGGTAAAGTGAAGAGAGACCACTGCAGTAACTTGACAATGTAAGAATAAAAAGCTCAGAAAGAAGCAACATTCCTCTTTCTTCTACACCTGTCCCACCAAAACAGAAGTACAGTAGAAGAAAAAGAAAAAAAAGGAAGATGTTTTTATACAAATAGCATTGGCTTTTAGCCTTAAGTTGGTTCTTCACTTATCTTTTGTGGTATATGGCTGTGGTGAAATAGGCACTGTCTGGCTGTGTGCATTTCATTCATGAGAAATTCATCTTCCCTGTGCTGCTGCTCCTACTGCAAACCAGCCCGGGCTCTGGGTGAGGTTGAAAGGAAGCTGGATCTGATGCCTGTGTTTCAGCTATGTCAGATGCAGTGATTGCATTGAACCTGTGATCAGAGGAGAGATGGGCAGGACTCGGGATCCACAGCCTGTGTCAGTGCAGTGAAGAAAAACCTTTACCAACCCGTAAAGGACACAGAGTTCAAACTAGGTGATGGTGGGAAATGGGATTTTAGCAGCCCGTAAGGGAGACGTGCCTTACGAGATGCAGGGTACTGGGCAGGTTTGGAACGAAGAAATATTTACAAAGGAAATGGATTTTCTCTTTGCTTTGGGAAAAAAAGTTAAACCAGTTCTGCTTTGTTTTATCGTCACCAATTTAGAAGAGTTTAATGATTTTTAGGCGGCCATCAGCATTAACAAGAACAGATGCTTATTTTTCCAGTGAACTACTGTCCTTAATTTTGCACAGGAGATTTAATGCACACTATTGTTTGAGGCTTCAAGAAGATACTGCTGCTTTAATGGCTTTATCACAAATGAAAAAAAGACATTACATAAAAGATATCGCATTGCCCTTTAACAAGGCTTCGTTATTATCTCCCCTACTGTGGAACAGGAGCTAGCATTGCTAATAAATTGGTAGAATTACTTTAGAAATGTGAATTTGCTTATCATTTAATATCCTCCGGTGACCTCCAGCTTCAGATCTCTTGGTCTGCAGTAAAACCCTTGTGTGTCAGTAACCAGCGCCAGAGAAGGACACGAAGAAGGTGATCTTCACACTCAGACACGTGAACTTATACTTTCTCAGGTATTTGCAGAGTGAGGCCATAGGCTTTTCTTAAAAGGAGATATGGATGTGGGACTTATATCCCACAATTAATCCTCAAATACAGAGTATAATGCACCTCTCATTTTCCATCAGCCTTTTTGTTTCCGGATCTGCAATTTCATTTGTTCCTGTGCCTGTATTTTGTCCCCTCAAATCATTATTTGAAGGTTATTTATCTTACTCTGAATTCGCTTTCTAAGTCTGCTTGATCTGTCTCCATTCCCATGCCTTAGCGTGGGCAAATTATGGAAAGAATGACTAAAATGACAAAACCCTTTAACAAGCCAATATTGTTCTCTGTGTCTTTCATCTCCAGCCAAATTACCTTGTGTTGTGTCTGAACAATGACATCCATGCTTATGTTATTATATACATAAATGTGTTCTACCTCAGTCTACCTCAAAAATCTGTGTTATTTACAAAAATTCCTGTTGAAATTCACTTGAGGATAGTCTCAGCAGCAAGGCTTGCTCCTTGACTGTGTGGGGAACTGTTTCATGTTGACTCATTCAGCTTATGTACATTCTTTGTATTATTAGAAGTGAGTGCACTTCTAGTGTTGGCTGTTGTAATTCGTGAATCTTTGCTTCATCCACATATTTTAATTTTCTTTCTGAAATGATCCTCCGTGTTTAGCATGACTGATTTGGGGAAACAAACGGCACATGGACAGTGCACGTGTATCAACCTCTTCTGCAGTGAGACCAGATACTCTTAGAGTTGTTTTTCTTCATCCTGCAATAGATGATTCTCAAGTGTTCCTGAGGTGTTTAGAAACACAGCTGATACGGTTCATTAGTTGCCCTACAGTGCCATAAATACATGACATTCTTCAGAAAGAGATCAAGATCTGTTCCCAAAGACCACTAAGGACATACCTACAGGGCATGATGCAAAGCCATTTGAGATGTACTCAAGGGTATACAGCTGTATCCTTCAGCAGTGCTGGAGAAATAGGCTTGCAGCCCAGAAGGGTGCATCACAGCTACATCAGTTGGATTAATTAAGCCAGGTGAAGCTGATAAATACTGTGGGTGCTGTTTCACGTTAAATGGAAGCTCGCGTGAAGAATAAAAGGAAGCCACCTCCTACAG